TATATAGAGAGAAGTAAGAAGACAAGTAGACAACTTGTTAGGTTAACAAAGATCTACGTACATATATAGAGAGAGAAGTAAGAAGACAAGTAGACAACTTGTTAGGTTAATAAAGATCTACGCACATATATATAGAGAGAAGTAAGAAGACAAGTAGACAACTTGTTAGGTTAACAAAGATCTACGTACATATATAGAGAGAGAAGTAAGAAGACAAGTAGACAACTTAAATAACTTAAACACACGACAGAACAGTTTTATTTCACATTTCAGATTCTTCGGTATATTTTAATAACTTACGTTTCATTACTCAGTTGTTGAACAGCAGAAAATTATACATATTTATCTTCGTGTAATTGTAAGTTTGATGTATTATTATTATTATACAGTTTATTCGGTTCTAACACCATCGATTCAACCACACGTTGCTACACGGTACGTGACGCCTATCACAAGATGTAACAAACTATGGATTACGTCCTTGATTAATAGATCTTAATTACAGCTATGAACTGGAAGTTTCAAACAGCAGCGTTAAGCTACAGTAGTTATAAACAAATCAGTAGATACTTACGTATTGAACTTTTAATTTGTAAACCTATAAATTATTGACATTCAGCTGCTCCATCTTTCTGCTACTAGTGTATAGCAATAAAACATTCAGAGCACAAAGTTAGGAAATCAATCATACAAACAAGTATAATTAAAATATGTCAACTAATAAGCACCATGACTTTAGTAGGCCGTTCAACATACAGGACAAACAAAAGTGTCAGCCAACACACAGGACAGTTAGAATGAGTAATAAAATAAAAAGGACAATCAAGTTGACACAGGATGGCCAAAAGTGTCAGCTAACAAACAGGACAGTTAAAATGAGCCATAAGATAAAAAGAGCAATCAAAATGACTAAGCTCACATAAAGGACAGCGAAATTAAGTTATCCAACACACAGGACAGCCAAAATAAGTTATCCAACATATAATTACAAGTTATCCAACACACAGGACAGCCAAAATAAGTTATCTAACATATAACCACAAGTTATCCAACACACAGGACAGCCAAAATAAGTTATCCAACATATAACCACAAGTTATCCAACACACAGGACAGCCAAAATAAGTTATCCAACATACAGGACAGCCAAAATAAGTTATCTAACACGAATGTAGACATCTTATGTTTTAGATGATTTGATTTATAATTCCTGTATGTTGGATAACTTATTTTGGCTGTCCTGTATAGCAGTTGTGTTATGTGCTGGATGTATTTGTTGTGTGTTGGATGCCTTGTAGTTGTGTTGTGTGTTGGACGCCTTATAGCAGTTGTGTTATGTGCTGGATTTTGAATTAGTTAAAAAGAAAGAAAATAAGAATACACCATAGCGAAACACGTGTACAAGATGATGATAATAAAGAAATTCAAAAACATTTGTGTGAACTAAGTAGCGAAACACGTGTACAAGATGATGATAATAAAGAAATTCAAAAACATTTGTGTGAACTAAGGGTTCAAATATGTTGTGTATTTGTTATGGGTTGGAAAAGGCGTCCAACACACAACACAACTACAAGGCATCCAACACACAACAAATACATCCAGCACATAACACAACTATAACAATAAATCCAGCACATAACACAACTACAACAAGGCGTCCAACACACAACACAACTACAACAATGCATCCAACACACAACACAACAAACACATCCAGCACATAACACAACTATAACAATAAATCCAGCACATAAAACAACCACAACAATAAATCCAGCACATAAAACAACCACAACAAGGCGTCCAACACACAACACAACTACAACAATGCATTCAACACACAACACAACAAACACATCCGGCACATAAAACAACTATAACAATAAATCCAGCACATAAAAATAAATTCTACAAATAACACAACTACAACAAGGCATCCAGCACATTACACAACTACAACAAGGCATCCAGTACATAACATAACTACAACAAGGCATTCAGTATATAACACAACTAGAACAATAAATCCAGCACATAACACAACTACAACAATTTGTTCCGGAACCAAATCCGGATTCTGGATCATTTTGAGGTATTTTTTGTAATGTTAAGATAGGATATTTTCGTGGTTCTGGGTTAATAACCCTGTAAGGTGTGATCGGATTTGTACCAAATATCAGGGTTAATAACCCTGTAGGGTGTGATCGGATTTGTACCAAATATCAGGATTAATAACCCTGTAGGGTGTGATCGGATTTGTACCAAATATCATATACAGGGCAAGTTTTTACGTTTATTTATTACATTTTTAGAAGAAAAAAAAAACCGAGTACTAAATTTTCTGTAAAGATTGGAGAAGGGACGTTAATTTACACCCTTCTTAGAAAAGTGAATGTACTAATCTTCTTAGGGACACCAATAACTATATTTCCCCTTGTATTTCTCTAACAAACACGCTTGCTTTGAAAAAGAAATCTCAGTCTCTCTCTGAAAAATTTCAAGGAATCTCTTTTTCTGATACCGAAGATACTTGATATTTTACAACCTAGTATTTCATGCACAAACAAGATGTTGCGACATACATCTGGACCAAGAATAGTTTTGGAAGAACTGATATGCCAGATTCTTGGCATATTTTAGTATACTGCTTAGCTTCAGATATGATGTGAATTTTGTGAGCACCAGAATCTGCATGGTGCAACAACAGATCGGTGTCTTCCCCACTGAGGACCTCATCAACACCGAACGAGGATATGACAGCTGTTTGCCACAAATAGCAATGTACCACATACCACGTGTCCAAGAAAGATGCTATCACATAATCGTCAAACATGCCACAAATAGCAATGTACCACATACCACGTGTCCAAGAAAGATGCTATCACATAATCGACAAACATGCCACAAACAGCAATGTATCACATACCACGTGTCCAAGGACCCACCATCAAGAACAAAACGTACATGGTTTGTACGTCCAACCGATTCTAGACCTGTTACAGTTTCCAGAGGACATCCTGCCAAAACTGGCTTATACTTGCTTTAAAGTTCTCTCTTCCAATCTTGACAGCAAGTTTGGTACTTATTCTCTAAAAATGTAATGAAGAACAGAAAAACTTGTCCTATGCTCTATCCATATTTACAATACCCTCTACAGTTACGTTTTTGGATGTATGTCTAATGACATGTCTGTATTGAATGGGTTTCTATTGTCTAACATGCTTAAGACTATCTTAGTATCATTCGTGGTTTATTCTATTCTCCAATCAGTTACAAGATAAAGTGCACCAGGTTTTGAATGTACCATCTTCAGTTAGTTCCTTACTATTAATTGCGCTCGTGTTTTAGGTACTTCCAACGGTCATTGACTGAAACGACAAAGATTGTACCAAATATAAATGGTACATAATTTATTTTTGGTAGTTTTCTATAAAGATAAAACAAAGTTGCCAACCAACATTTCACACTTCGAATTTTTAAAATACAACTTAAAAATAAGTTGTTTTACTCAAATCCAATCGTTTATTGTAAATTTTCGTGAATTTCCAGGTTTTCGTGATTTTTCGTCAAAAACCCATCATTTCCCTCACAAATGGCCATGTTCCACTACTGGAACTAGGACTTTTGGGATATTATAAAGGGCATTTAATTGGCCACAATGCACAATATTTTATTTCGATTGCAATTTCTTCTACGTTATGCCTTAAAATTCGTAGAATGACTGCACTATACATCAGTCTACACATAACAAATCATCTAGTCTACCACACCGAACACTAAACAACAACAAATCTAACACTTCGGATGACAAAGTATGTGATCCACCACACAGAACAGCTACGAAAAGTCTCCAACACACAAGATAGCCAAAATAAAACATTCAATACATAAAGCAACCAAAAGTCATCTAAAATAAAGGATGGCCACAAACAGGTCGTCTAACACAAAGGACGGCCACAAACAGGTCGCCTAACATAAAGGACAGCCACAACAGGTCGTCTAGCACAAAGGACAGCCACAACAGGTCGTCTAGCACAAAGGACAGCCACAACAGGTCGTCTAACATACAAGGACAGACACAACAGGTCGCCTAACATACAAGGACAGACACAACAGGTCGTCTAACATACAAGGACAGCCACAACAGGTCGCCTAACATACAAGGACAGCCACAACAGGTCGCCTAACATACAAGGACAGCCGCAACTAGTGATGGTAAATTAGCGTTACTTGCTAATCAATTAATCGGCATCCCTATTAATCAATTACATTCGATTAATTGATAATTACGCAAGCACAACATACAAAGAGGTTAAAGTTGGCAGAGGGTGTTGTAACTAGTTGCATTCCCTCTAGCAAGCAGTTCACACCACTAACAACAGCTAGTCTGTTCCATTCTCTCTAGTCATCAGTTGATCATCAAGAACAACAACTACCAGCCAGTTGTCTTAATCCTAGTTAGCAGTTAAACATCAGTGGCGATGGCTGATAACTTTACTAGCTTTGTCATAACGAACAATAAAACATTTTATAGTTGTTGTTTTTTATTTTTATAATAGCAGATAAATATAATACACGGAACGTCAAATAACGAAAAACATCAGTTGTTGATTGATGGCAGAATAATGTATCTAACAATTAACAGACACCTCAGAAATTGTATGGTAAGTTTTATTTCGAAAGAGTACATACAGTTGGATCAAAATGTCCAAACAATATCTTTATTTTTTATAGAATAATTTTATGTTTTCTTTTAATTACTTGTGTACTTACGTAAACAACCCAGTCCATTGGGCTGAAAGCGTTTGTCCCACATAAGTACAACCTACTCCCGTCACCTATTGGCTGGATGATGCGGATATGGTTTTTACAGTCGTAGACCTGCATGTGAAGAAAACCTGGTGAATATTAATAGATGGAGAATCCACCGAGCGATTAAATATCCTAAACGACTTTTCAGTGGATTTTGTAAAAATTAAAACTGTGACATCTCAGCCCACACGAGCGGGCCATCTTCAGGCAATATTGTTGTTAAACGTACATAGCCTAAAGACAATTCGTTATGAATTAAATACACGTAGTTTTAATTGCTTAAAAGTCTACTGTAAAGCTGTTCAAGATATCAAACTTGGTAAATGTTATACATGAGATAAAATAATAACGTAAGAAACTAACCCCCCCCCAAAAAAAAATATCCCAACTAAATAATGTTTGTTATATACTGTCTTCTCTGTTGATGTATATAATTGTACACACACACACAGATGAGATACGTACTTCTTAATTAACACTTCTATTGTCTGTTGTATTACTTACGAAGTATTAACCACTGTATGTGTTACTTAGCATTCTTAAAGATAAGATATCGGTAGAAATTAACACACGCCGTCACACCTCACTAGAAACGTTTGGATCCATATCAATGTAATACAACCAACAACCATGTTAAACCTTGTCACTAGAAACGTTTGGATTCATATCAATGTAATACAACCAACAACCATGTTAAACCTTGTCACTAGAAACGTTTGGATCCATATCAAGG